CTGTGGGTAAATAAATGGGAAGACAAGATGGTAAATGGCCTGTATTTGATATAACACCTTCTAGAGTCCTGGAACCCCCCAAGGCATTTTACAACACAATTAGTCTTTCACCCATTCACACGCTGGTGGTGGTGAGCTGCCCTGGGGCACACTGACAGAGGCATAGCTGCAGAGCACAGGCGCCATCAGTCCCTCCGACCACCACCAGCAGGCAAGGCTGGTTAAGTGTCTTGCCCAAGGACATGACGACAGTGACAGAGCGAGGCACAAACCTGCAACCTTCCAGTTAGAGGGCAAGCACTTAACTCATTAGACAGCATGGGATAAACTTACACTGTTATGCTGACGATGCTCAGTTATACAGTGGTGTGAAAAACTATTTGCCCCCTTCCTGATTTCTTATTCTTTTGCATGTTTGTCACACAAAATGTTTCTGATCACCAAACGCATTTAACCATTAGTCAAAGAAAACACAAGTAAACACAAAATGCAGTTTTGAAATGATGGTTTTTATTATTTAGGGAGAGAACAAAATCCAAACCTACATTGCCCTGTGTGAAAAAGTAATTACCTCCTGAACCTAATAACTGGTTGGGCCTCACTTAGCAGCAATAACTGCAATCAAGCGTTTGCGATAACTTGCTACGAGTCTTTTACAGAGCTCTGGAGGAATTTTGGCCCACTCATCTTTGCAGAATTGTTGTAATTCAGCTTTATTTGAGGGTTTTCTAGCATGAACCGCCTTTTTAAGGTCATGCCATTGCATCTCAAAAGGATTCAGGTCAGGACTTTGACTAGGCCACTCCAAAGTCTTCATTTTGTTGTTCTTCAGCCATTCAGAGGTGGATTTGCTGGTGTGTTTTGGGTCATTGTCCTGCTGCAGCACCCAAGATCGCTTCAGCTTTAGTTGCCGAACAGATGGCCGGACATTCTCCTTCAGGATGTTTTGGAAGACAGTAGAATTCATGGTTCCATATATCACAGCAAGCCTTACAGTTGCCGAAGCAGCAAAACACTCCTGGGAAGGTTCACCACTGTTCCATGTTGTTGCCATTTGTGGATTATGGCTCTCACTATGGTTCGCTGGAGTCCCAAAGCTTTAGAAATGGCTTTATAACCTTTAGCAGACTGACAGATCTCAATTACTTTTGTACTCATTTGTTCTTGAATTTCTTTGGCTCTTGGTTTGATACCTAACTTTTGAGGTTCTTTTGGTCTACTTCTCTGTGTCAGGCAGCTCATGTTTAAGTGATTTCTTGATTGAAACAGGTGTGGCAGTCAGGGCCCTGCAGAGACATTTGACGGGGCGGGTGCGCAAAGTAAAAGAAGGGGCACTTATAGAGCAATCCAACAAGTTAGAAATTTCGGATAATGAGACCCTTGGGTTCAAACAACATAATAAAAATACATCATTTAGTGTCATTAGTGTTGATGTTAGTTCATAAATAATTGCTTTTGTTTATAAAGCTGACTTATATCTAGAGATGTTACAACCACATTTTTGCCCCTGATCCAAGTCCAAGTTGTTTGATTTCTGATTATCTTCCAATACCGAGTCCTGTTCTGACACCAGGTGGTGATGCAATGAGTTACAAAAGAAGAAAGAAGACGTCCTTCGGTCTGTATTAGTCATTTTGTTATTGTAGCCTTAAAAGGTCACTCGTTCAGGAAGTACATTTAACAGTATTCAAGATAATTTATTGTCATTGCACAGGTGTACAACCAAATTGACTTTGCGCTTACTAAAGGCAGCTCTAGTAAAAGGTAGTAAAATAAATGTCAAATAAATGCAACCACAGAGAGTTATCCAGTGTGATTTACAGCTATGTTAGCTGAGATCTTTTTCCTGTCAGTAGAAAATTCTTGATCCCATTCCATGATCTCGATGAACTTAACACTAAACATGAGAGCTCTGCTACCAACCTAACAACACCCTTTACACAAAGACACCATCATCCCATATGTGGCAGGAGTCCAAGAGAAACTTAGAAGAATCTTCTCCAAACACAACATCCCGGTAAACTTTAAACCCAACAACACCCTCAGACAGAACCTGGTTCATCCAGAAGACAAAACACTCAAACAGAAGCTCAGTGGGGTCATTTATGCAGTCCAGTGTAGTGAGGACTGTCCAGATCTTTACATTAGAGAAACTAAACAACAATCACACAAGTGCATGGCACAACACAGGAGAGCCACCTCTTCAGGTCAGGACTCTACAGTCCATGAAGGACAAGGGACACACCTTTGAAGATGACAAAGTCCACATTCTGGACAGAGAAGATAGATGGTTTGAGAGAAGAGTAAAAGAAGCTATCTATGTCAAATGTGAATAACCCACTTTAAATAGGGGAGGGGCTTAGGTTTCACCTTTCCAGCACCTATGATGCAGCTGTGAATCTCATTGCTAAGCAGTTTCAGTCTAGGTCACACCTTCCTGTGTCTAATCAACACGATGACTCACCATCAATAGAGGCTAACGACTCATCAGGATATGGAGAGGCCGGGTACTCAGAGTAGTTTCTGCTAGTTAAATAACAACAGACAGCTACAGCTTATGAGCTTGACTCTCCCATATTCCAGTAAGAAAGAACAAAGCTCCTCAGAGGAGAAGTGAAATGTTTTAAAGAAACCAAAGAAGTCCAGTTGCCTTCATTTGAACCCTTTGGAGTAATAGTCAATAATAAAAATACATAATAAAGTCATAAAGCGTATACAATTATGCTCATATTCACTTTTACCATCTATTTGTGGGAGGCGGAAAATTGATCAGTTAACCCTCTTATGACCATAAATATAACTGGTATTTTTTGTTTTGTTTTATGGCTTTAAAATTGTAATAAAAGTGCAAAATGTTTGTAACTCTGCTCCTTTTTTCAAAACAATGTCAGCTTTCAGTGTCTGGTTTGTATTTAGTGTTTATGTTTATTAAAGTCTGTAAAACTGAAAATTAAATGAAATGGGAAAAAAACGGATTTGAATTTTTTACATTTATGTTTATGTGCTTAGCAGACGCTTTTACCCAAAGCGACTTACAATTTTTTTTTTTTTTTTTATTTATTTTTTACCTATAGGGCATGTTGTGATCTGTGGGGGAAACCGGAGTACCCGGAGAAAACCCACGCACGCATGGGGAGAACACGCAACTCCACGCAGAAAGGCCGCAGCCGAGTTTCGAACCTGCAACCTTCGTGTTGCGAGGCAACAGTGCTAACCACTGCGCCACCATGCAGCCCATTTATTACTAAACAGGAACTTCAAAAAATGACTTGAGCAAACTATTTCAAAAGAACAATTTAAACTCAGAACTGTGTTGCAAACTCTCAGAAAACAGTGTGAACCCTGGCCTCACAGGTCTATGCTCTGGTCCAGAGAACGGGATACAGTAAAATAAATACTAGGTAACATAAGATAACACTCATACATCACAACTGTAGCTACATTTCTACCAGCATTATAAAGTCCAATAAGCCAGATAAAAGGTTAAATCTAAAAATTTCACTAGAAAAAGTCAACTAATAAAATTCTGCACTGATTAAATTCTATTTTCAGCTAAATAAATATTTAATGTAAATATAAATGATGCTGAAATGAAGCTGAATCTTCCATTTAGTAAACAGCTGAGTGTTCAAATAAAAACCAGTGTGACTTTAATCTGTCCCTCCTGTCACCATCTACAGAAACAGCCTTCTGGGATACCTGACCAACCAGGTGGATTTTATCTGTGATGTTTCCATAACTTTATAAAAGCTGCTGATGAAGATGATCAGAATGTTTCGTCCCTTTGGTTCTCTGCTCTCCCGTCGCGGTTCGCTCCGTTTCTTTCTGTGACACTGCAAAGCTGGTTTCCCTCTAATAGCGATTTTTTGAGTAACATGAATTACATCATGTAATACATGTTGAAAAGCTCGTTTAATGTACTTTTAGAAATCATTTGAATTATTTTTATTCGATTAGTAATTCAGAAGTTATGACCCGGAGAATCTAGAGTAAGGAATATTAACATAAGTGATTCTTTGTTGTCAGTTTCTTCTTAAGGGGAAGTCTCTCTCATGTCCCATTTTCTGTCTCAGACATGCAGCTACCTGACTGCTCCACACACACTAGCTACGGACTCAAACGCACGTAAACAAAAGCTCTGATATTAAAATCCATCCAGCTGACGTGAAGCAGGCAGAAAAAATAACTTACAGGTAGATGAACACAGACTCCTGCCCACAGACAAACACCGGCCTGTCGTCTCCATGGCTGCAAGGTAGAGCGACAGCAGGGACAACCAATCACACGTTAGTATGATGCGGCAGAGCCAATCAGTGAGCTTGTAGGTGGGTCTAAGGGAAAATAGGCTTCAGCTTGAGGCGGCTGCCTCCGCATGGTCCTAGTGCCTGATATGTATAACAGTATAACAGTTTTGAATGGTAAAATCTGACGAAAGACTGGAAAAAGGGCACTTTGGGTACGTCGGACAAAAGGGGCAGGTGCTCAAGCCTACGCGCATTCCGAGGAGGAACCAGAGCCGGGAGACCTGGGGATGGACTGTCCATTCTCAGGGGCAGAAGTTGCTGAGGTAGTCAAACAACTACAGTGGCGGAGCCCCGGGGGCGGATGAGATTCGTCCTGGGTATCTCAAGGCTATGGATGTTGTAGGGCTTTCGTGGTTGACACGTCTCTGCAACATTGCGTGGCCATCGGGGGCAGTTCCTGTGGAGTGGCAGACCGGGGTGGTGGTCCCCATGTTTAAGAAGGGTAACCTGAGGGTGTGTTCCAACTATAGGGGGATCACACTCCTCAGCCTCCCTGGAAAGGTCTACTCTAAGGTACTGGAGAATCTCAGATTGAGGAGGAGCAATGTGGTTTTCGTCCTGGCCGTGGAACTGTGGACCAGCTCTATACCCTTGCAAGGGTGATGGAGGGGGCATGGGAGTTTGCCCAACCAATCCACATGTGTTTTGTGGATTTGGAGAAGGCTTATGACCGTGTCCCCAGGGGCACCCTGTGGG